TATGCCACAGAAATACATCACCGCCGCGCGCGTGCCCCGATTATAGAGCAAAACCCACTTGGGCACGTCCCATACCATGCCTAGCAGTTTTTACCCCATAATCGAGCATCACACCACGCGATACAAACACACTCGCACACCAACTCACACCACACGCCACTTTCTTAATTTCACTCGTCCCGCCAATTCTTGCTCATTCTCAGCCTTTCCACCACTACCGCGCCCGTGTAAAACGCATCAGGCCAACGGTCTTCTGACCTCGTCAGGCATCGTCACCCCGTCGGGCCGGGCATCGTCCCGCGTAAACGTACACGCCTCAGGACGGAATCCTACACACACTTTCCTTTTACCGCGCCCGCGTAAAACGCATCAGGACAACGGTCTTCTGACCACGTCAGGCATCGACACCCCGTCGGGCCGAGCATCGTCACCTCGTCAGGGACGGCATCGTCCCGCGTAAACATACACGCCTCAGGACGGACCCTTTTCCCAACCAATCCTTCATTCCAGTACCTTCGTTCCACTCATACCACACTTACACACGGTCAACAGTCGCACGACCAAACATACACACCTCACACGCATTCGTAGCCACGCACCAATTCACATCTCACGTACACTTCACAAACACACGTTCTCGTCATACGAATACACCACACGACCATACACATTTAACACGCGAATTCAATGTGCATTCACACTACCACACCGCCACACCTCACGGCCACATACACACGGCACACAGCCACGCCATATTCAGCCCAACACATAATCCCGATCCAGCCAACAAATCACAAACAACACAATTGATCAATTAAGCACTATCAAGCCATAACAATCCCACTCAATCACACAAATGAATCCCGATCGATCCACAATATCACTGCCCTATCCAAATCTACTAAACCTCAAATTTTCATTGCCAAATCAGTCCGTAACCAACAAATATCCAGCCTCTAAATCAGTCTCCAAACAGTCACAATAATTCCAATCAATTATACAAATTAACTGCGATCGCTCCACACATCACAGCCATCATCGAGCCTACAAATCCTCACCAATTTCTTCTCCAAATCAGTCCCCAAATCAGCCCACGACAACCAAATACCAGCCTTCATCTCAGCCCCCAAAACAGCCACATAAACCCTTAAACCGAATCCTAAACAGTGACCGAAATCCCATCAAAATAAATAGTAAACGAACTCCAAAAATTCTAAAATTTGGATATATCATAAAACACATCTTAATCAACATTTCTTATGAAGAACACGAAATCCGGTTCAATCTACAACCATGCCTTTTTGTCCCTCGAAATCAGACCAAAATCAGTTCGCTCTAACAGACTATTCTGTCCTCAAAATACATTTATTTCAACACCCAAATCACCTTGAAAAGCTTTGAAATTTTTATATGTTATAGCCACAAATGTCCCCAACAATTTTTGTGAAGGAAGTATTTTGAAAATATGCCTGGAAAAATTTATAAAAATTCGAACAGACCCGAAGGCGGGTGAACAGTAAATCGGGCAGTTTTATTTCGGTCCAAAGATGGGCTTCCGAATGGCCTCAAATGATTTCTAAAAATTCCCAAATTAAAATATGTTATACTTCAAGATGTTGGGAACAACTTTCATGAAGAACACTTCCTCAAATTCGGGCCACATAAGTCACAGTAAAAATAACAAAAACCAGCGACGCAGCAGCAACCTAACTGGAAATCAGCCAACACACACCACCGAGCAAACCAACCACTAAATTCACCCTAAACCGAGCCCTAAACAAGCTTAACAATACCCGAGGTCCTAGGCGACATTTGGGGAGGTCACTTACCTAAGAAAGGCGAGACGAACGGGCTGGATTGGAGGCTGAAACGGGCGGAACAGCAGCAGCAGCAGCAACACCGGCGGTGATGGGAGGAAATGAAGAGAGAGAGAGAGAGAGAGAGAGAGAGAGAGAGAGAGAGAGAGAGAGAAAGCTGATCGTGGGGGTTCTGGCCAGAATGGGGAGGAAGAGAGAGAGAGAGGAGGGTCAGCTGGTCAAAAATAGTGGCCTAGGGACGCCACGTGTCGCGATCCTACGCGATTTGACCAAAATACCCCTAATCTAACGGTTCTAAAGAGGTAGGATTAAATAATTGAGGGGTAATATCGTCTTTGGCCCCTAATAATGCAGCTGATAATTATCCATAATTATCCCAAATTATTTCCCAAAATTCGGAACTGAAACGGGCCCAGGGGCAAAACCGTCATTTTTCCGGTCCCGGGGCGAAATTTCAATTTTTGCACATACGTGTTCCATATGTGCGTGGCCAACATAATGTGGTGTCGGAATCGCGAAATTCATCGCGCAAGCCCTCGAAAATTGACTGCAAAGTTCCGGGAATAAAATAATATTATTTTTCTAATTTTTGTCGAAATTCCAATTTTTGACCAAAACCACTCTAAATGTCCGTGGCCACCCCAAAATGGCATCGGCCTCGAAAAATAACCTCAAACGACCTCAGAATCGACATCGGGGTCCAGAGGGGCAAAATCGTAATTTTTCCGGTCCCGAACCGAAATCCATTTTTTTGCAGAAATGGGTGGCCCCAAGGTTGGCCAAGCCAAAAACGTCATCGGCCGCTCAAAATTGTCACTTTCAAAATTCTCGATTCCTGGGCCCGAATTCCAAGAAATGACTAGAATTGAACAATCGCGACTTTAGCTTATCTCTGGCTAACGGGTGGCTCATTGGGATTACACGCTCTCGACCCGTGACCGACACCAAGTCAAATCACGTTTAAGTTTACTCTACTCGGGACGACCTCGGTTGTCATATAATTGCGAGGGTCTGTCGCTAGTTCCCTTCGGACACGATCAATCAAATAGACCGGTCTCGGTTGGCTCAAAACATTCCCTCGTCAATCCATATAGTCGAAGATCGAACCCAGGTCGAGTTCTTTGGTCATGCGAACTCAATCCCGTACTGGCCTTACTCCTAAGGTTAGCATCCCGTGAATGTGCATTTCCGGGTGAGATCTCACTATAGTGCATTGATCAATATTAATTTCCTAAATCCCGGGAAAAGGATCGAAAATTCAGACTGTTACACAAAGTTCTCTTTAGATACACTATTTTGATTATTTTTATCTTTTCAAATTACCACTCACATTTAAGGATTCTTTTTCACGAAGGATAGAACTAGCTATTGTCGTGCGATGCACTGACAAGGCCTTTTCTTTTCCCTTTTAAAACTTGTTCAGGTATCTGCAAGGATATGACAGCCACCTCACAGTCTTGACCATCAAGGTTATTCACAAAAAAACTCCCATACAAGCTCAATAGTTATTGCACTTTCGAAAATTAGCTTCAGCTTCATGAAGAGAAATTAGACCTATCAAAGTGCCATGTTCTTGTATGGTCAATCAGAAAACTTTGGTAAAATGTGGCATGACATTCACAGTTCCAAATTTACAAAACCAGCACAGTCGATGCCTGAAAATTGAAGTGCTTATTGGTCTTTTAATTTACATTGTGAAATATTCGCGAAATTCTCCTCTCTTTTGCAAAGATTGTGCTCAAAGTCATGAAGCTATCATAACCAACTCACCATGACTTGTATCACCTTCTGATGTTAGTTGTCACTGTGCAGGGATCTGGGCATATGGTCCCCTATTACCAGCCAAGGGAGGCATTGGACTTCTATAGCCGTTGGTTAGATGGAAGACCAATCTAACATAATTTTACAACTGTTCATTGCATTGTTCAGGTTAAGTTGCATGACGAATACAACTCCCCCATCTACTAGGACAAAATAATAATATAATTTCAAATGAGATATCTTTTGCATAGTGTCCTTGAAAAGCATATGCATCGAGTTTGGTCCATATTCTACACAAGAAGAGACAAACATCATTCATGTCAATGACTGGATTTTCAGCAGAATTGTGTGGTTATAGATTGCTAGTATTGCCTCAGCTGTGTCCATTTTCTACTTTTCTTATTTACTCACTCTTGTGAATAGTGAAATCAACCTTAAGAAATTTCAACTGTACGAAGGGCGTGCCTTATGAGGGAAGTGGGGCAACTCCATTCGAAAACACCTAAATATTTGAGTCTTTGTATGGATTGTGCTCGAGTTATGGATAGATTTCAATGAAAGATTACAATGACGCTCTTTTGTCTAATGCGATGCCAACTTTCTCGCTACAAGGAAGTTTTACAGATTACAAGCAGCCGTCGGCATGCAAAACATGTTCGAAATTGAATCAGTGTTGACCAGAAAAGATGGTGAAGCAGACCTCTCACTTAATGGAGAAGCAAGTCCATTGGTTTCTGTTTTAGTCAGGTGTAATGGGTATTTTAATTGAGTATACATCGCTGCAATTTCAATTCAGGTATGTTCTTTTGCTCCTCCGGAGGGTCTGTTTAACTTCAACAAAAATGTAAAAATCAAGGGCGCAAATGATAAGTTCCAGAAATCAATTTCTGGCTAAAAATAGAAAAATCTATTTCTATTCCCTAAACGAGTTTTTGAGCAAAAATACACGTTCAATAACGATACAAAATTATCCTATTGTCGAAACAGAAAATCGTTTGATAAGGACACAAAATTTCTCCCTCCTGGATGGTCGGCCCCGGGAGGCAGCCGACGGGTGGACGGCGGACGACCGGTGGATGGGCCATCGGCTAGTAGCTAGGGCGAGTAATGAAAAGAATTTTTATTTCTCATTTATATTCCATGGCTATTTCCTAAATCAAAATTTGTTCCGAAAATTGAAAAATGAAATTGTTTTACCAAACGGATTCTTTTCCAAAATAGAAAAACAAATAAACAGGGTTATCATGCGCGGCCCAAGTGTTTCAGCTGGACATTAGGGAAATAGTGGTCATCACGGTTAAAAACTGGTTTCAATATGAACTGCTAGACTTGACAAAGAAGTAAATGGGGGAAAAGAAAGAAGTTAATCAAGCAGAGAATAATAAAAACCAATCTTGACAAAAGAAGAAATAGAGTCACAAATGAATAAATCTCGTGTCAATTAAGCAGAATGATAAGCATGGAAAAAGTTTCACACAGCTAACAAAAATTCACATTGGTCAGAAGCCCTGGGAAGGGTATTTAGGAGTCGCAGCAAGTTCCCTGGGAGTTGCTGTGCCCGTGGAGGATGTATGAGTAATTTCTTTAAAACTCCAGCGATCCTCAGTAGAATCTTTATAGCCGAGAGTGCTTCATAAACCGCTTCAAAGTTTCGAATTTCGATCACCTCGAGCGACGATAGGAAACACTGAGGCGGAGGGTTGAATATCTCATCGACTGTTTCGGAATTCACATAAATGCCCTGATTCATCACATTTGCATGTTAGTTGATTTGATGGTTATATTAAAATTCGTCTGGAAACGAAAACAACAAGGCAATTACATACCCGAATGAATTTCAGATGATTCAAATGAGGACACTTGTGGAGAATCATAACAATGAATATAGATTCTAAGAGCAAATCATCAAACGTGCCCAATTCCAATTCACGGAGGTGACAGAAGACTGGGAGAAAGTTGACAAGAGTCGGTCTTCCGTATAGAATCGAAGTAAGAAAGCCAAAAGACATGAGAAAGTTAAGACTGCCGCATCAAATTCAGAATTATCAAAAAGCACCATGAAATATGTTATATGATACAATGAGTGAAGGCTGAAGCTCTAAAAAGCATAATAAATAGACATGTACCTTAGCAGGATTAAATAAAGTCAGACGTTTCACACACGAAAGATCCTTTAAGAGCTTATATCCATGGTAAGCACTATGATGATGATGATGTCATCCAGACATATCGAGATCAATACGAGCCACAACAAGAGAGGATGAACTCGATATTGTATAGCGATCGATAAAGTGCCCACTACAAGTGAAGGACTTGATACAAGCTCCATGGACCCCAAAATCGAAGGTGCTTTCCAAAACCTCATAAAAGGTATGCTCAACTATATGCAGTCTCAAAAGCTTGGGAGCAGAAATGTGAAGAACCTTGAGTCTCCTCCACTTGCAATGGATGAGAGACAACTCCTCAAGAGATGGGCATGAAAGAAGCTTCTCTACTGAACTATCACTCCCGAAATCGAAATCAACCCACGCAAGCGTTAAGACTTTGAGATTTTTCAGACAAACTAAAGAAGGGAGCCTCAGTTCATGCGACATAAACAGACAGAACTCGACCAGTGATTCACAGTTAAAGACACAACTGGGCAACACATATTCGAGCAACTCTCCTTACAAGCGCAAGTGGAGCTTCTTGACTTTGCGCTTTATCGCGGCTGTGATCCAAGTATGGATGCGAGATCTATCAGAAACAGTATCGCATAATAGGGAAAACACTTTCAGGGGAAAGATGTGGAGTAACAATGATCTGTTCACGAAGTTCACGAAATGCATCTGCCCTGGGAAATTGCGTTCGGAGATATCGAGCCTAGGATTGTTCCTAAACAAGTGCTCCCACCTTTTCGACAGCGTGCTTGTTCTCACCAGATCTTTCAGTTGGAGAAAACTTACGATATGCCAAAGAATTTTATCGGGCAGATCACATAACTGTGGGGTACTGCGTACGTCTTGCCCTTCATTTAAGTTCATGCATTGAGCTTTTTTAACCAGAGGCCCCGCGTCCATGAGTTCCCCAATCTGTCGTAGAGAATATAATGAAAGCATATGAGAAGATAATGAAATTTCTCCATCTCTGTTCTTGATTGATGCACATCGCTATATGTCATGTGTTTGTTAAAAACTGAATAAGCTTAACGCGTTCCCTTGACAATGGCTCGCTATATCACTAGAACGATTGACTCGGGCTTATTTTAACAGGCGAGGAGTAGCAACAAAGAAGAGAGGATATAAGAAGATAGGAATGGCCGAAGATTAAAGACGACAGCGAGCCCTAAGGCCAAAGAACAAGAGAAAAAGAAGTACCTTTCCCGGGGAGGGAACTCAAGCAATTGAGGAAGAAGAAGAACGAGCACAAGTTCTCTGGAGAGAGCTTCCTTTATAGTATTCAATGGTAGAGAGATACCAAACAAGATCTTTCCCTTAATTATAGCAACTAAATTATGCGAATCGGATTTGCGCCGATGAATTGAGATATTTTTAATAAATAACAATGGTGTAACTGACCAAAGATAGGGACGATTTTCATTTAAATTTGAAATGGTGTTGGAGATTTAAGATATTATAATTCAAAATGTTAGAGATTTATCTTACATTTAAATTTCAATCTTGTCCCTCAGTTGATAACATGCCATCTTAATTAATTTACCAACGGCTTTTAATAAATTTTGTGGGAAAAAGTTTGAGGTTGAAACCTTATATTCGGGTTTGATGTCTGGAATTAAATTTTGTGGGAAAAAGTTATTTAATTAATTTACCATCGGCTTTTCAATGCTAAAAGTCCGTTATTTAAATTTGTTTTCCAAAATAAATCTTGTCGTTATACATACCAATTAAAATTTTTTGTTAGATGTCATTAAGAAAACTCATAAATGATAGGATTAATATCACGAAAAATCCTAAAACCGGTACACTTGTGACAAATTTTCCCCAAACTAATTTTGGGTTATCAAAAATCTCAAACTGGTACACATGTGACAAATTCATCCCAAATTGAATAGGATTTTCAGGTGGACTTACCGTATTAATTGAGTTATTGTCAGGTGTCATCCAATTCAGCAATTTCACAGTTTAATTTGACGGAAGCTAAGGAGGGTAAATATGTCACGAATGAACCAATTTGGGGTTTTTAGTACTCCAAAAAAATTAGTTTTGAGAATTTGTTACAAGTGTACCAGTTTGGGGTTTTTGGTGATCCAAAAATTAGTTTAGGGTAAATTTATTACAAATGTATCAGTTTGGAGTTTTTCATGATATTAAGCCTAAATGATAATATATGTTCAGAAAAATTAATGGAGACCATTAATTCAATTACAACTGAACAATAGTACACTCGTTAATAAAGGTTTGAATCACAAAATGGTGGAAAGAAATCGTCGATGAAAATACACAACACGAGAAAAAATTTATACATGAATGTGAAAAGAGATAAATTCTTCAAATTTGAATTTTTAGTAAGGTTATTAATTGATATGCCATTGATCTTTTGACAGAATTTGGATTATTAGGATGTCATCCCTTTAATACATCTATTGAGGTCAATACTCATTTTTGAGAAACGGATAGTGATCCAGTAGATAAGGATCGTTATCAGCGGTTCGTGAACAAGATGATTTATTTGTCTCACACCTAACCTGATATTGCTTTTGCTATGAGCCTGGTGAGTCAGCGTATCCATGATCCATACTTTACTCGTATGGATGTTGTTCTTCAGATCCTTCTGTACTTGAAGTATGCTCCTGGGAAAGGGATTCATTTATGTCCTCATGATGGCTTGAAAGTTGAAGCCTATTGATTGGGCTGGATCTCCTGACCAAAAGTCTATTTCTGGGATTGTACTTTCTTAGGAGGGAATCTCGTGACTTAGCACAGCAAAAAGCATAATGTGGTTGCTGAGTCTAGTGCTAAAGCTAAGTTTCGTGCGATAGCACAGAGAGTTTGTGAGCTATTATGGCTTAAAAGATTACTTAAAGATCTTGGTGTGTTTGTTCCTGTTTCTATGATGCTATATAATAAGGTTGCCATTAATATTACTCACAATCCTGTACAACATAACCGTATGAAACATGTGAAGATTGATAGGCATTTTATCAAGGAGAAGTTAGAGAGTGGTTTAATTTGTATGCCCTATGTTTAATCTGGTTATCAACTTTCTGATGTGTTCACTAAAGGATTATAGGGTAAATCGTTTCATCCCATTTTAGTCAAGTTAGGCATATGCGATATCTATGCTCCTACTTGAGGGGGAGTGTTGAGAGTATTTGGCCGATGGGGACGATGTTTGTATATTTCCTTTATTATTTTATGTATAACGGCAATAAGGATGATATTGAAATTTTGGCCTCTTAGCTTTATTATAAATATATAGCTTAGGGTAACATCAACCTAACCAAGCATTAAGTTCAATTTTTTGTCTCACAACACAAAATGATTTCATCATACAATTTTAGCGCATGAGGACATATAACGTCCTCTATGTACCTGAAAGATTGCCAAATAATTAAATTAAATCTTCCCTGGCTTGATAATTGGTTGTGATGAAAGCATCGAAAGCGTAGGAATTGAACAAATTCCACATATATCTCACACGAAAACACTTACTAAGGCATGACTATTATGGTCAGGATTGCCTCTCCAAAGAATATTATAGCCCAATTAGCCCAAGAATTTTATCTATTTTGCAGATACAAAAGTGAGGAATGAATCGCGAAATAATTTCTAATAAGATGAAGAAGACTCTCAGCTCTCTGTTCATGTCTTTGGAGGCCTTCAAAAAGCGGTTGGAGTCCTGTGCTTTTCTGATTCCTCCAGCTCAATGGATGCCATTGCTTCCTCATCCCTACACACCGAGGCAGCATGTCTCTTCAGAGACAAGCGATAGAATTCGAATGTCACGCACTGAGGCAGCATGTTAGAAGTCACTCCCATAGTGGCACTAAGTCTGATTTTTCAGAGAACATCTCAGTTTGGATATGGAGTTCCCTGGGAACGCTCAAATTCTAGGAAATTGGATCCTTGCTCGACAATCATAGACCATGGTATCAATGATACCATAGAAAAGCTTGTTTGAACTACCTATTAGAAACTCACAAATTTACGCGGTATGCCAAGAAAACTAAAGTTGTCAAGCTCATAGTTGGTAATAAATGTCTCAAGAAAAAGAATGGCAATGAAAATAGATGACACCAGCACCAAAAAGCTGGGGAACCGTTCCATCACATGATTCAGAGAGCGCTAAAGCTGAAGGACAGCAGCATCAACTCCTTTTCCAGCAAAGGCGACATGGCAAATGGTTACAATTTTGTCGAGGTGATTAGCTATGCCTGTTGTTGAAAAAATAAAAACATAATTGAATGAAAGAGGGGCATGCTTACAGGACTATAAACTATTTGTTGGGAGCTCAATCCAACTAGGGAAATATGAGCTCACCAGGATATATTAATTACCCCTCACATCATACCGATTCTTCTTGTGGGACTTTTTCTAGCACAACTTACAGTTCGTCTCAGAATCAGGGGCTATATATTTAAATAACATAACAAGGATTAACTTTCATGAGCAGGGCAAGCTAGAATTTGACAAAATACATGCTTGGTGCAGATTTTACGTTTTCAAGCACTATAAAAACAAATAAAAATAATTTCACCGAATACCCCATCTTCAGTCCGCCCTATGAGGGCGCTAGAAGCAGAAAGAAGTCATGCTAAAGCCCCTTCCAACTAGTGGATAATTCAGAATAATGGAAATGATTGCTTAAAACATCTCAGACACAACTCATCTACTTGTCTCTTTCATTTGTCACTTACTCCTTGTTCCATTCAAATTTTCTTGAAATCGCTTGTCTTCTACAATGTGTCATCCAGTACTATCCTCCAAATAGGTTTGTTTTCGGTTACTACTTCACACCAAGCTCCTGCATGTCTTATTCATTACTATTCCTTCTTTGCTTTGGATTTGATTTGTGAGATTTTAAAGATGAAAAAAACAGAGGATTGAAGTGCTGAAGAAGAAAAGAAGTATATGGATATGCAGCCAACAAGGAAAACTACAACTATTTGATTTCTCAATCTTAAATTTAAAGTTGAAACAAACTGAAAGTGAGAGAA